GCTTGTACTCGTGAGGGATCCAAGCCAATCCTTTTTCCAAGTATACCACATCCACAGCCACTCCCTGGTCTAAGGTTTTGCTCACTTCCTCCAAATCAGATTTGTCTCACAACTTCTGTCTTTCATGAATCCATGCTGTCTGTTGCTTAAAATGTTTTTTTTTTTCCCGCAAGAACTCATCGATGTGTTTTTTTTTTTTTTTTTTTTTTGTAACACCCTGCTACAAGTGGATGCAGGATGTTCAAACACATTCTGGCAGTGTCCTGCACAACAGTGGCATTCACACTCTGTAGAGCAGCCCCATGGATCTTGTATGCTGAACAGCAAAACCTTGCTAAGGAACAGTGTAGTAAAGAACTACATTTCCCAGAGGAGCTTGCGTGTGGGCGAGGGGTGTAGTATATATATGAAAGCCCGCAAGATGAAACAGAAAGTGAGAGGGGGAGAGATCTGGAGAGAGGAGTGCATTGACTGTGGGAGGACCGGACCAGGCCGGAGAAAGAGAGGAGACAAGGAGAATCTCCTGCTCATTGACATTGCTGCATCATGGAGAAAGCTAATCTGCTAGCAGGTGACCAGACGGAATGCTGCAGGCAGGACCGGAGATTGTGTTGAGGTCTTATCGAAGGAGAGAGAAAAAACCGCCAAAATTCACCAGAAGCTGTCCCATCATTATCAAGGACAGGGAACACTGACACCTGCTCCACCTTTGCTATTTTCCTGCACGCAGTTGGACATTGCACATAGTTATTAGGTTGTGGCAAGTTCCTTTAACCACTATCATCTAATTACACTTAGCACAGCCTTACCATCAGAACTGATAGCAGGACAGTTGATCCACAGGCCAAACCACCGCTGTGTCACCATCATCATCAATTCACTCTGCTAAGGAGGCTTTTTCCCTATTGCTCAAAAAGTCTTGTAGCCCAAAGAAGAGTTGCCCTGTGCCAACAATCACTTTTACCAGATTGGCCCCTTGTTGCTTTAGACTTGGAAGTGACTAGTGCCCTAAAAGAACATTACATTTTTTAAATTTCTGCTTGCAGGGGGAGTGTTTTTCTTCCCTCTCTTTATTGCACTGTTCCTCAGAAAGTTACAGTCCCCACTTCTCTTCACTGTGCACCAACTGGGCCCCATCACGTGAGTAGAAGACTCTTCATTGCCTTTAAAGAGTATTGGTTGTTTTGGGGTAAAGCGCTCTTTTCCTTATTTCAGGCTATCTCCTTGCCATCAGGTCCTGAGGGCCCAAAGTGAGCTACTCTACCTGTTTGATAGTCCTAGCTGCTCACTGGTGACTGTAAGACCACCTCAGGTTGAGGGTATTGGGTTAGTTTCTGAAAACTAGTGGGTTAGTTTTCCTTAAGTTCAAATCAACACAAGTAACAATTGATTTTACACATTCTAATTCTGTTTATGCTGTGTAACCAAGCCATATTGAAGTTTGCTAGAAACCTCTTACTAGTTTACTTCAATCGGTGTGAGAATTCACTTTCTGGTGGTAATTTATTTCAGTTAAGAGTGTACTGTGATGTCAGCGGGGGTTGGGCTTTCAGAGTGGGGTCCACATCCACAGGGAACCAGAAAACAATTCAGCAACTCCTAAGGGGGTAGTGCTACATGTGGGGGCTTGTCTGGGATTTCCCTGTCTAGAGAGTCTGTGAACCCCAGGAAGAAAGGATGGAACCCATGAAGATCACTGCCTGGTGCCAGGAGCAGAATGCCAGAATAGTGTGTGGTGCTGAGCCTCCCTGGAGATGACTGGACTGAAGAGCGGGTCGAGCAGATGCTGACAGCCTGCATCCCTGATCAGGGAGTGAGAATCCTCGACATCAGAAGTATTGCAGATGTTCCAAATGTTTTGATACTGACAGAATGGAAAAAAGGAATTCATCCTCTACTAGAATGAGAGAATGTTCACCTGTCTGATACAGTAATGGCCCAGGTGTTTCAACCAGTCCACCCTTATGGCAGCTCAGAGAGTTCAAGGAAAGGAACCTGGAACCAGAGCCATCCACCTCAGCAGACATAGTGGGAGGCATATCTGCTACCTCACTGGTGGTATCAGCAGCGGTTGTGTATATTGTGTGTGTGCACAGTGTGTGTATATCATGTATGTGTGTATCATGTATGTGTGTATTGTGCACCCTCTTCTGGGTGCCTGCACTGGAGAGCAGAAGTGAGTGCCTTCTCATCCTGCATGGATCCTGGCTTGGAAGAGGAGACCTGCCTTGTAGTGGAGGTGTGCTGTGCAGTGTACTGGGATGTCCAGGATGGCATAGCTGTGGATCTGTGGATGGAGAATTGGATCCCTCTATGACAGGTGATGGGGTTGGGTGGGGGGTCCCTGCCCCCACCCCCCATTATACCCCTTGTCATTATTTGTATGTTGCATTTGCACGAACCTACTCAGTACTGCTCACCGGATGATGGCCAGGAACAAGCTGCTCCACTTCCAAAGATAATGGCCTCCTCCACCTCCTATATCCCCCCAACTCTGTCCAAGGTGCTGCCTGTGTCACCGGCAAGAACTGCTCTGAATGATGAGAGTAGTGTTCTGCTCTTGGGTCTCTGCAGCCCGTGCAATGTCACCCAGGCGCTGGCCAGGGACTAATGTTTGCGCTCCTGCCACTGGCAATTAGAGCCTCATATGAGCTTCCTATCACCTAACACAACCGTCCACTATTCAGTGTCAGGGGATCCCCCATTACTGGTTGTCATGGAGCTGGTCTTTCCCCCCCCCCCCATCCTCCAGGTTTGCTGCCTGCCATCCCCCAACCCTCAGTCTTCTATCCCGTCCATGCTGGGACTTCTAGTCCTCCTTGTCCCTAACACAGGCAGCCCCCAGCAACCCCTCACCCCCGTTGCCGGCAATCTGGCCCCCTGCCGAGGGAGCATCCTGTTTCCATGGCTGGGTGCCATAAAGTTGGCCCCCCTACTGTGGGAATCCACAGGCAGGCTCCCCCCTGTCACCTCCCCCCTCCCTGTCCCCTCGTAGATGTCTTCCTGCGCTCCGTGCCCGACAGGGACAAAGGCCGCGTTCCCTGTGTGGTTCCGGAGACTCGGGGGGCGGGGCCCGTTGCCCTGGTAACCCGACGCAAAGTTTTGGGTTACCCCGGCAACGGCCCCGGCTCTGTACTTAAGACAGAGCAGGGCACCGGTCCCGTGTGTTCTCCTGCCTGCCGTGTGCTCAGTGACAGCCTCCTCTGTGTTTTCCGTCCCCCTGCCCTCCTCTCTTCTCAATGGTTCACCTGCCTGCCAGTCTGCTGCTGGATTCCTCCCCTGTGTGGGGCTAACTCTCTGCTGCCTGGATCTCCTCACTGTGGATGAACCTTCTGCTGCCCCCCCCCCCCCACCCCTGTGAGCCTGCTGCTGGATCTCTCCCCTGGAGGACTTAACCCTTTGTTCCCCTGCCCTCTCCCCTGGAGGACTTAACCCTTTGTTCCCTGTGAGCCTGCTGGATCTGGATCTCTCCCTTCTGGAGGAGGACTTAACCCTTTGTTCCCTGTGAGCCTGCTTCTGGATCTCTCCCCTGGAGGACTTAACCCTTTGTTCCCCGTGAGCCTGCTGCTGGATCTCTCCCCTGGAGGACTTAAACCTTTGTTCCCGTGAGCCTGCTACTGAATCTATCCCCTGTGCAGACTTAACCATTTGTTCCCCGTGAGCCCACTGCCTAGATCTCTCCCCTGGAAGACTTAACCCTTTGTTCCCCGTGAGCCTGCTGCTGGATTTCTTCCCTGTGCGGACTTAACCCTTTGTTCCCTGTGAGCCTGGCAAACTTAACCCTTTGTTTCCTGTGAGAACGCTGCCTGTGGGGATTGACCCTGTGTGGACTGTAACCCTCCGTGTCTGGCTCTCCGCATCTAGTAAGTGGACTAACCCCGTGCTGCCCCTGAAAGATTTAACCCAATTCTCCCCAGGAACCCGAATTCTCACGAAACCTCCACTCCCTGTCCTACTGAACCCTGTAGATTATCAGCCCCGTTGTCCCATATTGCCTTCCAGAGAACTTTACTGGACTAACAGAACTATTGTCTGTACCCCAAAAACCTCCCCACTAAACGCCCGCACATCGCGTTCTGTGCAATCTGTCTCTGCGTGCTCTCTCTCTCTGCGCTCCTGGTACTTGACACTACACATCTACTATTCAGTGTCAGGGATCCTCTATTATAACACATCTACTATTAAGTGTCATGGATTCCCCTTTACTAAACATCTACTACTCAGTGTCAGGGGATCCCCCATTACTACACATCTACTATTCAGTGTCAGGGGATCCCCATTACTACACATCTCTACTACTCAGTGTCAGAGGATCCCCCATTACTACACATCTACTATTCAGTGACAGGGGATCCCCCATTACTAAACATCTATTATTCAGTGTCAGGAGATCCCCCATTACTACACATCTACTATTCAGTGACGGGATCCCCCATTACTACACATTTACTATTCAGTGTCAGGAGATCCCCCAATTATTACACATCTACTATTCAGTGTCAGGAGATCCCCCAATTATTACACATCTACTATTCAGTGTCAGGAGATCCCCCATTACTACACATCTACTATTCAGTGTCAGGGGATCCCCCATTACTTCCTATGAGTACAGAGCTCTTACAGAGATAGATAGATTATCAGATACAATCCTCCCGTCCAATCACTAGCAATGCTGATTCCGGCCTCACACTGTCTGCTGATCCCATTCATGCTCCATACACAAGGAGATGATAGCACAATACGAGTCATGTCAGTGGTATTCTGTGCTCATCCTGTGTATGGAGATATCACCGTCTCTACACATGGAGGACAATATTGGGGGGTCTACTCCATTATAACATTTGTCTTATAAAATTCTATTTCCTGGAGATTTATAAAGTGATCGAATATAAATGATTCCAATAAAGAGAAATGAGTTCCATCCATGTAGAGAATAGTTCCATTCATTCCTGGGGGGGGGGGGGGGGGATTAATTTCCTTCTGGTAACATTCTTCTCTTCTACAGATTGTATCGTAATCAACTGACAGACAGTTCCTGCCCCCACCTGGCATCTGGAATAAGAAATAACCCGACACTGAGGACACTGGGCCTGTCCTGGAACAATCTGGAGGGTCCTCATTTCAGGGATCTGATGGCGGCTCTGACAACAAGCCGGATAGAGGAATTACAGTGAGTATAACAGGACTGACTGAGACAATCATATTCTGGGACAGATTAACATTCAATTGTCTAAATCTTCGGATCTTCTCTAACTCTGTTATCAGCAATAAATTCGACTTTTCTACATCTGGATCAAATATGGACAGGTTTACAGCTGGTCCATAAGTGGATCAAATATGGACAGGTTTAGTAAGGACCAGCCGAGATCTGACCCCATCTATGGGCAGGCTGGTTTGTGATACTCACTGTGGAACCTAAAGGGGCATTAATTCACTGCATTGTGTAAAAAGACCGATTGATCCTTTCTGCACTATTCCTCCCCCTTTTTCAAGCGACTACCTGTTATCTTCTGATAAAACAGACTGAACCGTAGGCATTTTGCACATGCTCAGTTTAGTGTGTACTGCAAGAGAGGTTTTTTTTTTTTTTCCCCTTGGGAGGATGCATGTGATCAGCACAGGGCCAATCAGCGCTGTCCAGACAGAGATCAAGGGTTCTGCATCCTCCTAGAGCAGAAAGAAAACTCCTCCTACAAGCTTTAACCAGTGCTCTGCTGGACACTGATAGAAGTCAAAAGATAGACTCCACCTCCGCAACATTGCCAAAATCTGCACGTTCCTAACCCCAGAAACCACTAAACAGCTCATCCACTCCCTCATCATATCACGACTGGACTACTGCAACTCCCTCCTCACTGGCCTGCCTCGCCACAGGCTATCCCCGCTTCAGTCGATCCTGAATACGGTAACCAGACTCATTCACCTTACCAACCACTCCGTTTCCGCCACCCCTCTCTGCCAATCCCTCCACTGGCTTCCGATTGCGCAACGGATCAAATTCAAAATCCTAACACTGACGTACAAAGCCGTCCATCATACTGCCCCAAATTACATCACCGACCTAATATCCAAGTACCGCCCAACACGCACACTCCGCTCCTCACAAGACCTCCTTCTCTCTAGTTCCCTGGTCTCCTCCTCCCATGCCCGCCTCCAGGATTTCTCCAGGGTGTCACCCATCCTCTGGAACTCCCTACCCCAATCCATCAGACTATCACCTACTCTCCTTTCCTTTAAGCGCTCCCTGAAAACCCACCTCTTCAGGGAAGCCTACCCCACCCCCTGCTAATTGCCGACCTCCTCTCCACTCTTCCTACCACTCCATCCCCCACAGCTATCTCCTCCTGTGCCACCATCCCCTCCCTCCTAGATTGTAAGCTCCAAGGAGCAGGGCCCTCGAACCCCTCGTGTATCGCTTTGTATTGTTACTGTACTGTCGGATGTTCTGTCCCCCTTTGTAATGTAAAGCGCTGAGCGAACTATTGGCGCTTTATAAATACTGTATAATAATATACTGCTGATGAGAAAAGGTATTTAGCAGTTTATAGTAACTAAAATAATTGCATTTCCATGTTGATTGTACTGTGGGAAACCAGATATAGTGAATGCGGGGTCCGGGAGAGCGGATATAGTGAATGCGGGGTCCGGGGGAGAGCGGATATAGTGAACGCAGGGTCCGGGGAGAGCGATATAGTGAATGCAGGGTCCGGGGAGAGCGGATGGAATGCATCCGGGGTGAAATGCAGGGTCCAGGGAAAGCAGATGTAGTGAAGTGAATGCAGGGTCCGGAGAGAGCAGATATAGTGAATGCAGGGTCCGGGGTTTAATAAACCTCTACATTAATTTTGGTATCTGTATAAATAGATGACATTAAAGATGCTCATACATGGGAGAATCTGATCTTAATGCAATGAGTGATCAGAGCATCAAACAAATTCCTTTCATCTGGCGTGCTATTCAGTTCCGGAAGATCTCCCCATTACTGAACATTTGTTACCTAGCGCCATGACGTCCTATGAGTACAGAGCTCTGATCAGCAGAGATAAATAGAATATCAGATACAATCCTCCCGTCCAATCACTAGCAATGCTGATTCCGGCCTCACACTGTCTGCTGATCCCATTCATGCTCCATACACAAGGAGATGATAGCACAATACGAGTCATGTCAGTGGTATTCTGTGCTCATCCTGTGTATGGAGATATCACCGTCTCTACACATGGAGGACAATATTGGGGGGTCTACTCCATTATAACATTTGTCTTATAAAATTCTATTTCCTGGAGATTTATAAAGTGATCGAATATAAATGATTCCAATAAAGAGAAATGAGTTCCATCCATGTAGAGAATAGTTCCATTCATTCCTGGGGGGGGGGGGGGATTCATTTCCTTCTGGTAACATTCTTCTCTTCTTCTACAGATTGTCCTATAATCACCTGACAGACAGTTCCTGCCCCCACCTGGCATCTGGAATAAGAAATAACCCGACACTGAGGACACTGAACCTGTCTGGGAACAATCTGGGGGGTCCTCATTTCAGGGATCTGATGGCGGCTCTGACAACAAGCCGGGTTAGAGGAATTACGGTGAGTATAACAGGACTGACTGAGACAATCATATTCTGGGACAGATTAACATTCAATTGTCTAAATCTTCGGATCTTCTCTAACTCTGTTATCAGCAATAAATTAGACTTTTTCTACATCTGGCCATAAGTGGATCAAATATGGACAGGTTTAGTAAGGACCAGCCGAGATCTGACCCATCTATGGGCAGGCTGGTTGTACTGAAGTTGATCCGTCAATCACATTCAGTACAACCATCCTCTGGGACTTTTTACATTCGATCACTGCTGGAGGTCTATAGCAGCTAACAGTGATCAGTGTTCTGCTGGCAGGGAAGGCTTCCTGTTGGCAGAACACAGTTGTGCGGCAGGAGTGATTCCCCCATCCATTCTGACTGTGTTGATGGGAGGATTGAGCAATTGTCTTTCTTTCCACCCGTAGTGGAAGGAAAGAATATTGTATAGTCTGTAAATAACCCAAATTATTTTATAACGAAAAATTACAATTTTTAAACAAAATGTTTAATTTTTAAATTATTTGTTTTTTTGCAGTACAGTGTCACCATGGCGACACTGTACTACTTGTGGGGGGTGATGAGGATTTTTTTTTTTTTTTTACACTGATTGCTTTTACACCCATAAAAGGATGTAAAAGCAATCATTTCTCCTTCTCTCTGACTGCATTCTTGCAGCCATTGAGAACTACTGAGTGAGCGGTGATTGGTCACAGCTTGTCACATGGTACCAGGCTGTTGTGAATAGCCTTGTACCATATGACCTCTGTGATCATTCACAGATTTCACACGTAGTAAGCAATGATGTCACAAGTGACATCTTGCTTACTACTCTGCATGTGATCACTGATTGGCCAATCAGTGATCACATGATCGGGACCTCGCAGAGAGGTCCCATCTGACGATCGAAGTTCCACCGTGTCCGGAGGACACAACGGGCACCGGATCGCGGTGCGTGAGCTCCCAGGGAGTGCGCACAACCAGGGTGCGTGGACGTCGTTTATAAATGGCCACCCGACCCTGTACTGCTACCGTCTGGTCGTTTATATACAATGGCCAGATGGGAGGTGGTTAAAGCTCCCCACACACAGTACAGTCTGATCTTACAATCTTCTTTACCTCCATTGCCTAATTGGATACAAACTGACTGGATACATTGGGTAGGTCCTCATATGATATAAAGTTGTACAAACAGCATAATATCAGATGGTAACATGGTGACCCTATAGACTATAAAATGTAAACATTAAAGTGTTACTAAACCCACAACAGTACAATCAGTCTGTAGATGCAGTAAAGCATGCTTGTTATACTCCCTGTGGAACCGAAGGGGTTAATCCTCTGCATTGTGTAAAAAGGCTAATTGATCCTTTCTGCTCTGTTCCTCCCCTTTTTCAAGCGACCACTTCTTCTGATAAGACAGACTAAACTGTAGGCATTTTGCTCATGCTCAGTTTAGTGTGTATTGCTAGAGAGGTTTTTTTTTTTTTCCTTGGGAGAGTGCATGTGATCAGCACAGGGCCAATCAGCACTGTCCAGACAGAGATCAGGGGTTCTGCATCCTCCTAAAGCAGAAAAAAAACTCCTCCTACAAGTTTTTTAACCAGTGCTTTGCTGGACACTGATAGAAGTCAAAAGACTGCTATATACTGCTGATGAGAAAAGGTATTTAGCAGTTTATATTTACAAAAATAATTGCATTTCCATGTTGTGTGTACTGTGGGAGACCAGATGTAGTGAATGCGGGTGCGGGGAGAGCGGATATAGTGAATGCAGGGTCCGGGGTTTAGTAACACTCTTTATTTTGGTATCTGTATAAACAGATAACATTAAAGATGCTCAGACACGGGAGAATAGTTCCATTCATTCCTGGGGAGGGGGGGGGGGGGGGGGGGGATTAATTGTCTTCTGGTAACATTCTTCTCTTCTTCTACAGATTGTCCTATACTCACCTGACAGACAGTTCCTGCCCCCACCTGGCATCTGGAATAAGAAATAACCCGACACTGAGGACACTGAACCTGTCTGGGAACAATCTGGAGGGTCGTAATTTTAGGGATCTGATGGCGGCTCTGACAACAAGCCGGATAGAGGAATTACAGTGAGTATAACAGGACTGACTGAGACAATCAGATTCTGGGACAGTTTCCATTGAAATCTTCCTGAGACCTCTATGCCTGGCCTGAACAGAGCAGAGACAATCACTGCAGACATTTTTCCATCAGATAATTGAACTCACCAAACACTTTGCAATCATGAATATTTTTCTTGTATGCAGGACGTTCCGGCAAACTATACAATGTGGAAGAATTCGGTATATATAGTGATATAGAGTAAAATTTCCTTCCTCATTTCAGTGCCCGTCTTGCAGAAAGGATAGCAGGAAATTACAATGAAAGAGAAAAAAATTACGTCATACAGATACAGGGGAGGATATAGAAATAATGAGTGCATTAAAAACAGTGACATAGACAATACATGAACAAAAACGAGCTGCATGGTCGAGTTGCCAGATAGAAGTCTTTAGTGTGCCAATGCCACAAAAATGCCCGGTTACAATACAGCTGACAACACCTTGACACGCCTCATTGTGTTTTTTTGTGGCATTGACACAGTAAAGGCTTCTTTCTGGCAACTTGACCACACAGCTCTTTGTTCAAGTATTTTCCCATTGTGCTTCTTAAAAAAAAAAAAAAAAAACCACACCATCTTTTTACACAGCAGCCTGTTTTTCTCCTGAGGTTATGTGGGTGGGTGTTCTTTGTTTCCCATATAATTATTATGGCAGTTGTGGCTGCTGTTACTTGGTCTACCTGACCTTGGCCTGGTATTCCTTGAATTTTCCACTCCTTAATAAGTGATTGAACAGTACTGACTGGCATATTCAATACCGTCCACATCTCTTTATATGGTTTTCTATCTTTATAAAGATCCATTACCTTGTTACACAGGTCTTTTGACAGTTCTTTCTGATCCCCATGGCTCAATATGAAGCCCGCTCAGTGCATCCATGTGAGAGCTAACTAACTCATTATACTATTTATACACAGACGCTGATTGTAATTGAAAAAGCCACAGATGTGGGAAATGAACGTTTATTTGCCATTGTAACCTGTGTGTCCCCTTGTGTGTCTGTACCAAGGCCGAACATTCCAGGGGAGGGAAACTTTTGCTCAGATCTATTCGGGTGATTTCTGTTATCATTAGGATTTAAAAAGGAGCCAAACAGCTCTGTGATAATAAATGGCTCCTCCATGTCTTTATGGACCTTGCTTTGTGCAATGGTGGGCAGTCATGTTGGAACAGGAAGGGGCCATCCCCAAACTCTTCCCACATAGTAGGGAACATGATATAAAAGAAGTTGTGAGCGCTATGAAAACAAAAAGCAGCCACAGCATCAAAAAGGATACCAAAGAACCTTACAAAACATAAAATATGAAAGATGCGGCGCTATAGTATAAATAAAACGTCCAAAATATCAGTATATGGTGGTTAGGTGATTAATGTGATCACAAAAGTTATATCACAAGCAAAGTGACATGCGGTGCAAAACCAGTCTTTGTGACAGTTATTTTTCTTCAAAGTGCTGCTTCCATGCAGTAAACGTGAAAAGGATAAGGCTGTGCACTCACCAGATGCACAGTGTAACTGCGCATTTAGAGATATATTATCTCCACTAGATCCACAAGTAGCTTCAAAAGGTCAGGTCAGGCCGGATATTCCTCCACCCGCTGGATGTTGCTAGTAATCCACGGTCTCTCTCTTAGGTGGCTCTATAGGTGATGAGTGACTCACCAAGGGCCACAAAGAAAGGAGACCAATAGCATGATACCGTTTAAAAGATATTTATTTCATATACAGTATGATATAGGTGAGGAAAAACAAACAATCACTGACCATGAGGAGAATTGAAAGATGGCCGCCGGGACCTCCGTGGTGCCGGCGGCAGAGAAATAGTGACGCTGTAGCTCCTAACCTGACGCGTTTCGTGCTAACCGCACATCATCAAAGGGGATAAGCTTCAGCGTCTGCTCCTAACTGTATCCATTAAATAACGTGAATGGCGCATGCGCATTACGAACGCGCCATTTTCCATAAGAGATATATCTCCATATCGGGCGCCATTTTGCCGGAGACAAACCTAATCTCACATGCGCGGGCGCCATTTTTAAAAACATAGGTGTGTGTCACTAAATCACCAGGGAAACCAAATATAAATATGAAATAAACACTAAAAATTTTTTTGAAGGATCCAAATGAGCAGTGCCAGGACTCAATCAATGATAAGGCCCACACATAAGAATGGGATTGACGAATACCGTCGCAAAATGGACCACTGCGCATGTGCAGGATCATACTGGAATATATATAGAGCTAATAACTCCTTATCCAAATATGAAATCATAATGAAATCTGATAATAACAGTGGCACACACACTGCAATAAGACAAATACAATAAAAACATAGATGTAAATAAACTCATGAATATAAATAAAAACGATAATATCTGTAAAACACATGTCATAATACATATAATCATATACACATATTGTCCCTAAATCTTTAATACGAGATACCATCACAATATATTAAACATCAAAAAAAACACACTGTATTTAAAAAAACACACTATATTTAAAAATCTTAAAATTATTCTAAAAATCGCAATGACCAAAAACGCATCAGTATATATATTTGTATATATACATCTATGTATATATATGAAGAAATTGAACCGCTTGGGGCGAGTATATAAAAAAGGCACAGAAATAAAACGCAAGGACATATAGGTCCGTATAAATTGTATATGAAAACCGGTAAAAGTAAAGATAAAAATAAGGGAATAAAACCTGAGATCAAAAGCGTAATTCCGAAGTTTCAACTATTGTCTATAAAGCAGTTGATATCTATATCAACATTTAATCCTCTGGGATACATAGATCCCATCTCAAATATCCACTTTGTTTCCAATTGAGAAACAACCCTTTTCTTATTAGTACCTCTCCAATGATGATGTACAACGTCTATAGCTGTAAATTTAAGTGACGATGGGTCTCTATTATGGCAAAGCCTATAATGTTTTGAAAGAGAATGTTCTTTAAATCCACGTTTTATGTTATATACGTGTTCACGTAGACGATCTCGCAATCTCCTTGTAGTGCGACCTATATATTGCTTAGAACACGGACATTGGAGTAAATATACAACGTATCTGGTATTACATGATATAAAGCTCTTAATATCATATTGCTTGTTAGTAGAAGTAGAGGTGAATTGATCAATTTTCCTCTTTCTATGGTCGCTACAGGTACAGATAACGCATATATTACATGGAAAGAAACCCACTAAGCCATTAAAAAACTGAATCTTGGGGGGAGGGTCTATTACATTAGGCGCTATTCTGTTTCTCAAAGGAATAGCTCTTCTGAATGTGATTTCCGGTCTTTGTGGTAAAATTCTAGCGAGCGTTTGGTCTGCCATAAGAATTTTCCAATTATTCCTAATAATCTTTGTAACACTTTTATATTGGGACGAAAAGGTTGTTACAAAAGGACATACTTTAACAGATTTATGTCCCGTATTATTACTAAGCATCGTATCCCTGTCCATATTGGCAATTGATGTTAAAGTACATGAAAGTGAGGATTCATCATAACCTTTTTCGATGAATCTCTCTTTTAGTATACCTGCTTGAGCAAAATACGTCTCAAGATCTGTGCAATTGCGACGGATCCTCGCAATGAAGGCCACGCCAAGTTTGGAGGTCTTTAGCTATTGACTCTGCAGACAGTTGGCGACTTCTGCGCACTGTGCGCCTCAGCATGCGCTGACCCCGCTCTGTCATATGACGTGGCCTACCACTTGGTGGCTGAGTGGCTGTTGTTCCCAGTTGCTTCCACTTTGTTATAATCCCACTAACAGTTGAGCGTGGAATATTTAGTAGCCAGGAAATGCCACGGGTGGACTTATTGCACCGGTGGCCACCTATCACGGGACCACGCTTGGAGTCACTGAGCTCCTGAGAGCGACCCATTCTTTCACCAATGTTTGTAGAAGCAGTCTGCATGCCTAGGGGCTTGATTGTATACACCTGTGTCCATGGAGGGGATTGGAACACCTGAATCACATGACTGGGAGGGGATTGTAACACCTAAATCACATGACTGGGAGGGGATTGGAACACCTGAATCACATGATTGGGAGGGGATTGGAACACCTGAATCACATGATTGGAGGGCGGAGACAATACTTTTGGTAATATAGTTTATATGATGTTGGAGGCAGCACGGCAAATAAAATAAAAATTTGGCAATGTCATTAACCACTTCCAGACCGGACACTTTTACCCCCTTCCTGACCAGGGCAATTTTCAGCTTTTAGCGCTATCACACTTTGAATGACAATTGCGCGGTCATGCAACACTGTACCCAAATGAATTTTTTTACCATTTTTTTGAGACAGATAAAGCTTTATTTTGGTGGCATTTATTCACCACTGGGATTTGTATTTTTTTTGCTATGTAAATGAAATGTCCAAAAATTTTGAAAAAAAGTGTTTATTTTATAAAATTTTGCAAATAAATAATATTTCACCATAAATCTTAGCCAAAATGTATTCTCTTATCTTTTTAGTAAAAAAAAAAATCCAAATTAGTTTATAAGCAAAAATTATAATTTTTAAACATTTTTATTTAAATTTTTATTTTATTTTTTATTATTATTATTATTTTTTTTTTTTTTTACATACTGTCACCCTAGCAGTAAAGTGTCACCATGGTGACACTGTACTTACTTGTGGGGGGGGTGATTTTTTTTTTTTTTTTTTTACACTGATTGCTTTTACACCCATATAGGATGTAAAAGCAATCATTTCTCTTTCTCTCTGTGTGCATTCTTGCACTCATTGAGAAGTACTGAGTGAGCTGTGATTGGTCACAGCTTGTCACATGGTACAAGGCTTTTGTGAATAGCCTTGTACCATGTGACCTCTGTGATCATTCACAGATTTCACACGTAGTAAGCAATGATGTCAGAAGTGACATCTTGCTTACTACTTTGCATGTGATCACTGATTGGCCAATCAGTGATCACATGATCGGGACCTCGTACAGAGGTCCCGTCCGACGATCGGTGTTTCACTGTGTCCGGAGGACACAGCGGGCACCGGATCGCGGTGCTGCGCGCTCCCAGGGAGCGCGCACAAGCATGGTGCGGG